ATATATACATCTTTTGTATATTGACTAAATATGAATATTATTTTATTTAATTATCAAATTGCTATTTTTTTACTAAAAAAAATCAATAAAATAAATAATATTTAAAAAAAAAATATGTAAAACAAATTAAATTTATTAGTTTAAACAAAGTATAAAATTATAAAAATATTATGATATTCATCTACTCAATAATTGAGTCAATACTAATTGACTTTTATAATTACACAAAATTCTAAATAAGCAAATATCAGTGTGAATTTTTTCAAACTTAACAATAATTCTATTTCCCTAATATCTAATTATTATTTTATTTTCTATACTAATTGATGGTAAAATTTCTTCACTAATAAATCATGAAACTTATCAATAGTAATATTAAATTTATATTATTATAAATATAAAGCAACTTTTAATTAAACATCTTTATTATCAAGAATATTGCTTTCTTTAAAATGATTATCTTTAGGAATATTACTATAATTTTTAAATATTTTTATTTAACTTCTAATATATTATGAAAACTATTCATTTTGATTAAAAATATTATAATAATTTAATTGGCTTTTAATTTTGCATATCCTTTATTAAGAAGTTGTAAATAATATTGAGTAATTTTAAGTCAAATCTTATATCCTAAAATTAAGTACTCATTTTCAGATTTAATTTATTTCTATTACATCAATAAGTATTTATGTAATTTGCTAAAACAATTACTATCAGAACTACTACCAAAATTACCACCAAAAATATTATTAAACTGCTATTAGAACTATCATTAAAAATACTATCAAAATTACTATTAGAATTATTATCAGAAATATTATCAAAATTGCTATTAGAACTATCACTTGAAACATTATCAGATTTATTATTAAAATTATTATCAGAAATACCATTAGAATGATCACTAAAAAAATTATTATCAAAATCTATATTTTAACTTTTTAATATTAATTAATAAAGCATTTGCCCATTTTTTTTAGTTTTCTAATGCTATTATTTTTTTTTCAATATTTTGTTATGTGTAAATTACCTAAATACTTTGAGAAACACTTAGAGAGATTTAATGCTTTTATATTTTCTATTAATACTGAGAAAAGTTGTTTTGCTTTATCCTTAATTTGGTTTATTAATTTGCTCAAATTCATTCTCTGAACTATTTCTATTATTTGAATTTGAAGTTTCAAAGGTATCATTATAACTTTCATAATTTTAACCTCTTTTTTCTTTGATATATCTTGACATTATTGTATTTGTCACTTTATCCACTCTATGTGAAAAG